TGCTCAGTCCTCTCTGCTATAGCCTGTGTAGCTGTAGAGGCATATAGGCTATTTGCCATATGGCCAGAGCAAATCTCATTCATCGTGGTATAGAAGGGAAAGGCTTTTTGGCAGAATTTTGCGGCTTCTGGGTGTTTGGTGATATACTCGTCCCACAATCCTTCTGCTGCTGTTGGCAAACCCTTCTCCTCATCTCATCTAAAGCCTGAGTTCTCTTTCAACCTCTGGAATGTACAATAGTCTGCCTTGAGCTTTTTGATTCAATGTCACAAACTGTGACTAAGCAAGGCAGATTTCACATAGCTCGGATTTCTGAGCTATAGGTATGTTGGGTTTTCACATGACGCACATTAAGTACGCCATAGGTTATTAGGTTTACCTGTTCGTGACTTACATTTGTGAGTTACACGATATTATGATTTTCGCACATGACTCAAATTGTGAGTCATGGGTTTCACTCAGGTGAGGCGAGTTGCGCACCTGACTTGGTTATTATATTTTGATTGGTTTCAGGTACGTTGCGCAGCGACTCATAGGAGTCGGCTGATGGATTTTGCATGACTCATAGTTATGAGTCACAAGGTTCATGTGACGCATAAGTATGAGTCACTCCAGGTGAAGAGCTACTATATAAAGGGTCACTAGGACCCTTAGTATTAGCTCTTCACACGTTCTTCTTGTTTATTTCCTACCTTTAAGTTTTTTATCAATAAAACCTACTTTTACGCTCTTTAAGATTTATCTTAAAAAACCCAAGAATTGTCTTTCCTCCCAAGCGAGAAAACTATTTCTCCTCCCACGTCGAACGACGAAAGTCCTAAGCGAGGCCTTAAGCAGAATAGAGGGATAGGCGCGATACAATAGAAGTCAAAGGACTTAGCTATCGACGTCGCGTAGGCATAGGCCTAAGAACTATCACCTCACCCTAAGTTAAGAATCGTTACCTGTCATATCACTTACCCTTTGGGCAGGATTCTTAACATTCAAATACTATTAACTATCCTGATATAACAGCTGCCTGATAGAAGAAAACTTACTGAAGCGTACTTTGTCTTACATTGAGTAAGATCAATCTTAGTTCCATAAACAGCATTGACAGCGATGCGAGCCTTCTGCCAGGCTTCCTTCTTGAAACCATTTTCTCTGCGCTTTCCTTCTTTAACTGACTGTAATAGTGAGCTTTGCATAGCATGCACTATCTCGTCAATCCATTTTGCTTTCCCCAAGGCCATAGTTTTCACTACCAAGAGAGTTTTTTTTTGAATTTGGGAGACATGTGATTGTGAGGATTTATGGTTGCAACGTTCAAGTTGTGAAGAACATACCACAAGCTTGAAATAATTTTCAATCGTACTAGATGGTAGCGCGCTGTCGCAATCCTGATTCTAAACCTTGTATTTCAACCTATCAAGAACAGCAAAACGCACCTATAGTTCTACTAGTGAGTCTTAAAATAACAAACCTTGTCAAATACAAAACACCTACTAATATTTAAAGCTTCTTATTAATGTTTTTGCTAGCAAGTAGTAATCATGATAATTAAAAATACTTTTTCAATAAGGATTCTATTTAAGAGTTAGAAATTGTTTTTCTCAAACAAATCAAGTACCCATCTGTTTGCAGTTGAATAAGTATTTCAATAATAATAAAAAATTCCCTACAATTTATATTTAAACTTATAGCAATAATAGTAAAATAATATCAGATTAATTATTCCTATAAACAGATTGATGTACATAGGGTATGAGCATTAGTGAGGCGAACTTAAAATGTACCAACCCTAACACTTCCTGCTCTCTCATTGGCCGAGTGTCCTAGTAACCAATGAGAACCATTTCGCCTCACTTACCCTGAACCCCCTGTACAAAGGGGGTTGGTTAAGATGTTATTTGAAGGTGGGTTACTGGTGCTCTGGTCAAATTACAGATAGAAATGTATGGTTCTGGAAGGCTAGACTCTACCCCAATTTACAGACAAAAAGTGTGACAAAATCGTTGCAACGCCAAGTGTAACACCACCAAGACCTTATTACCCTTGCACCTAACATATAAAACCATAACTTATAAACATGCAAAAAACAATGATTAGGAGAGTATAAGATGAGAAAATATGTAAGAATTTAATGATGGTAAAAGCTAGATTTAATGATTGATGAAAATGTATCTCCCTAAGAGATTTTATGATTGTTTAATTAATCTACATTAATTTCTGCCTCTGTAATCTGTTGATGGGATAAGTATCTAGTATATACATATTTCTTAAGGTCCTTAGAACCATATACTTTATTATTTCAATAAGCATTTATCATAATATACAAGATTCATTGATAATATTTCCAGATCAATTAATGTAGATTAATTGAACAATCATAAAATCTCTTAATGAGATATATTTTTATCAATCATTAAATCTAGCTTTTACCATCATTGAATTCTTACATATTTTCTCATCCTATACTCTGCTAATCATTGTTTTTGGTATGTTTACGAGTTAGGGTTTTATATGTTGGGTGCAAGGGTAATAAGGTCTTGGCAGTGTTACACTTGGCGTTGCAACAATTTTGTCACACTTTTTGTCTGAAAATTGGGGCAGAGTCTAGCTTTCCAGAACCATAGGAGAAAAATAATATTAAACAGAACAATTTTACGGCCTGTAAATCATAGCTATGTCGGCTATGATGTGTGCTTGTAGGATGAGTATGACTCATAGATATTCATAGATATTCCCTTAGTATGTTTCAATTATACATGAGACCGGGAGGACGAATATGGAGAAGGTCTGTTTCCTTAATCATCACTTCCAATATTTTCAATTATCGGCCCCGGGGTGTGATGCTGCAAGCCCCGTACCGTACTCGAGTTTACCCATCGCTCTGGCACAGCACGCAGTAACTGTGCGAGTACCGTACCGGTATTCGCGGTGCTCTACTAGCCGTTTTCACAAGTCTCCGGATGCCTTGGTGCCAAGATTTGTACCTGACCTGTGTTAGGGGAAGCCTTGAACCGGAGCACTAATTATAATAGCATTGACTTAAATCCCTACAACTTACTCAAAGATTGGTTTGTTTGAAATATCTCTCTGCTGGCTAGATCTCCAGCCTATTCTCTATCTAACAATCAAGAGAAGGAAAGCACAAAGGTGGTTGATGAGGAGCCTTAGTAGTTTGAAGTTGGCGATTTTGGATTAGTCAACTGGTTAAAGGCTTCCCCTACCAACTGGTGATCGGATCTCTCAGCACCAAGGCATCCGGATACTTGTGAAAACGGCTAGTACGGTACCCGTACTCGAGCGCCCTATGGTGGTAGACTTCTGTGCTGCCACACCAGTTAAGGTGGCGGCACTTGGCTTCCTGTCCGGTATGGTTCCGGACACTGCCAATCAACACCTTAGCGAGGTCCAAATATGACCAACATCAAACTCCTCTAACTCAACAACAACAGTTCAAAAGCGCAAAAGCTTCTGTAAAAGGCTTTACTTGATGGTTGTCTAAAGAATCACAGAGGGATTTGAGGAAATATGAACTGCTTGCTGTGCTAGGGCAACTTAAAGATTTCCATTTTTAGTAGGGGTGGTACCAAATTAACACAACTCAAAATTACTGTATCAGGTAATATCTTTGCAGTATTATTCCTAATGAGGTAATATATTTCGCCGATCATTTCACTTTGTAAGATAAGTTAACCTAACCCAATTAGAAAGGTTATTACCGATTAGTAAGCGACAGCCAATTAACACTGGTGTCGATTGGCAGTGTCTGGAACTATCCCTTGGGCGGTGTGAAACAGTAAAATTCGGTTCCAGCACGCTAAGGCCAAATTAGGCCGCCGCTAGTTGTGTTTAGTAACGAAATCGTGCTTCTCAGTCATTTTAATGCTCAAATGACTCAGCACCCCATGTCAGCTCAGATTTTCTTCATACTAATATCGTTCCATAACAGGATTAGCGTGCTGGAACCGTAATTACTGTTCAC